GATCTGCACTCAACAATGCAGCCCAGGATGAGTAGTCGAACACAGATCCACTGATCCTTCAACACAGAGCATCTTCAGAAGACATGCTGATAAAATAAATTTTAAAAATCTATATTGTTTTGAACCTACAGCACTATTGAACGGTTCGATACGGGTACATGTATTGTTGCACCCCTATAAAACGGGTGCAACAATACATGTACCTGTATCGAACCGTTCAATAGTGCTGTAGGTTCAAAACAATATAGATTTTTAAAATTTATTTTATCAGCGTGTCTTCTGAAGGTGATGAGAGACTAAAGTATTGAACCGAACCAAATCAAGAATTTTCCTTATTGTTGCACCCYTAATTTATATACATACACACATATATATGTATACACACACACAMTTGAGACTCAGAAGAATARAACTGTCTGGCCAAGGAAGGCCAGGCAGCAGATGCTCCTGCTTTCAGGTCCCAAACGGTTCCCAAAAGCAGCTCCTCAGAGCTGTKATTTTAGTATTTACAGTAAAGGTCCTGTGCCAGTGTTGGGCCTTGTTTCCAACACATTTAACTGATAAAATTTAAGTCCTGACCCAGAGTCTGCCTCCTGCTGGCCTGAGTTTGGGTCTGTTCAGCCACAAATGCACGCCAGTTTCACATCCAGTTCATGAAATTGTTGTAAAAAACAGGAGACATGTCTAAAAGACCTCAAGATCYCCCCTTATTTATGACGCATTCAAAGAATGGAGAAACTCTTGGCTAACCTCAGGTGAGTGGGACATCAAACCCTCTTGCTCGGTGGCTTTAATGACAAAGCAAGATGACCACAGAAAAGGCCACGGCTACACAGACCATCACATCACTTCCTTTTTAGCCACACTACAGCTTCCAGCAGCTCTTAGCTTGGGAAAATTTAAATATAACGCTTTTAAATTTTAAAATGTTTATGTTGCAATTCTTTTAACTTAGCTCTACATTGAGGCTAAAAATCCTTTCCACACTTAACACTCTGGATGCATCAGGCTTAACTGGGTTTTGTAATTCACACTTCACCACATTAAATCCTTGGTTCCTATTATATCCCGCCTCCTGTCTGACTTTCCAACCAACCCTCTATGACTCAACTGTCTCAACTCGGACACAAATGCGAGTCTCACACACACACACAGACACACACGATCACAGTCTATGTAAACATTTTATAGTAGGGAGGATTAATTCTATGCACACTAACTGTAAAGCGCACACATCCTGTTAGAGTTAAAGTAAAAAGCAAACAGAATCACAGCCTCACAGAGAGGGTCTGTTTCTGCGTTCACATCTTTAGAGTTTTTCCGGGAACACCAGTTGTGGGGGGAGGGAGGGGGGAGGACGCTGTTTTACCACAGCTTTGAAAACAAAGCTCGATGGAATCTGACTAATGTCTTCTGATTTATGTTTTCCTAATTCTTGCTCTGCGTTTTTTTTTTTTTTCAGGATGCTCAACAAGTGCAGAAACACAGCTCTGTTGCTGAGCTGAAGCAGCAGAAAGCTTCTGTTTTCCGGCATTTTGTAAAAGACACTGACTCAGTTTTCTTYACGAAGCGACTTTTCTTCTGAAGCAGCTCAATTTTTTTTCTTTTTTTTTCAGCAGAGCTGAAGTCCTCTTCAGCTTCTAACCCCGCTCTAATTAAGGCGCAAAATTCTGTGTGTGAATTATGTAAGATTAGAGGCTAATTGATTCTTTCAGGTCTACCGGTGGAAGCCCTGACTTTTGCTTAATTATTAAGCAGCACAAGCAGGATGCATRTTAAATCCCTAATTGCATGATGGGAAATAATCTCAACACATCAGGCGTGTAATTAAAATAACTACTCATCAGTGAGAGTCAAAAATCAGTAAATAAATAAGCAAATGAGAAAAAAAAGAAAGATGGTGTGTTTATATGTTTTTTTGTCGGGAGGGTAAAGTTACAAAGTATTACTCAAGCTGCGCACATCTTGCTCCAATTAAAGCTGTGGTCACTTTGCGMAACCCCGTGGAACTCTGGGTAAACAGGAGCATTGTCCCGTAGATGTTACAGTTCACACTGATGCATGGAAACACACAAACACACACACACACACAGAGCAGTGTTTGTTACAGTGTGGTTCTGGTGGGTCCCTAAAGCATCAAACACACATATCTTTTTTCCTGCTTTCTGTGTGGTCCGCTTCCCCGCCGGAATCTGGAGCCTSARCTATCAATACGAGCTTTATTAAAACATATTTCTTAGAAACGATCCAACGTCTTATTGTTATGCTGACACCAAACCGCAGCTATGAGCTGCGTTCACCTACTGATKCTTCAGTCTGTGCTGAGCCCTGTCCCAGTCAGGCTGCTGCCCTCGGAACCAAACATCRCCACTCGGAGCTTGAGGGACATCGTTGCATGTAAATAAGTTTCCACCGATGTTTTAGAAACACATAAACATCCACGAGAAGAAAAAAGTTGCAGGTTAAACAATGCGGCAGTGAAATTTTCCATTAAAATCAATCAATATATTTTTAGTTTTTTCTTAAAAAGTTGATCTGACAGCGTTTATTAGATGAAAACTTTGCAACATTCTTAGCAGTGGCTCTAAGAAGGGGACTGCGGTCAAAAAACCTCTTTGGTAGACTGTTATTGACTCAGTCTCTGTAACGAATCATTAGTTTTCACGGACATTGTTGCAAGGTCATAGAAACATTCTCCAGGAAATATCCAGCTCCAATATGTCTAATACAGCTGAAAATGGATTCTTAAAAGGTTCAACAAAGGTAACTTCTTTTTTTGAAGATGTTTCGCTTCTCATCCAAAGTGATTTCTCAGGTTGCACTGAAMCCACATGCAAATCACTCTCCCTCCCCTCCCTCCTGAGTGTCATTAGGGTCTCAAAACTGCTGTGGAATAAGGTTCAAAGTTTTACCGTAACTTCCGTACCGTACTTGGAWCTCTGCGCCTTTCATTGTGAACTGAGAAAGCTCCTTGGATAAGATGCAAAAAGTCTAAAAAAAAAAAAAAAAACTAGATACCGCATAGCGGTAGCATACATGACCCCTGCATGCACGCAAAGCACCAATTAACCAGTACCCACCAGAAAAGATGTATTGTTTTGGGTGGGAGTGGGTGGGGTATGGGGGCTTATTGGTGGGCCCAATGGATAACCCTTCATCAAAAAACCTGAAGCTCCTATGTTGAATATTTTTTTTAGTTATAAGCATTTTTGTATGTCCAGACACCCWCATTTTAGATGGAGCCCCCTCCTCAAATATGGGGTCTATTGTAAAACCGTTGGCTGGCTCAGTGTAGGTCRGWCWCATCTACATTCCTGCCAAATCTCATGTTGATCGGTGCAGCCGTTTCTATAATACGGTTAACCAAAACCACAGAAAAAGAAAAAAACAGTACGAAAACAATTTGACTCCTGCTTTATAATCATAATTAAGTTGTCCAGTTATGACACRACAATTTTGACTTTGCTGAGTTTAACACAACAAATTAAAACGACTTCCAGTTTGAAACTTGCATGTTCCTTGTTGGAAATGATGTTTTCTTGGATACTCTTGAAGTATTACGTACCTGAGGTAAGAGATGGTTCGGCCAGCTGACTGTGGAGGCTCTCTGGCGAGCACCCCAGCTCCGACTCCTCCAGCTTGTTCTCTTTGCTGTCCCTGCAGGAGCTTTTTTCGGACCTGGAGGCCTCCGAGGGCCTGTCCAGGTAGAGCTCTCCTGCAGACGTGGAGGTCATCAAGGCGCTGACTAATGTCTTAGCATGAACTATGCCACTTTCAGCTGAGGCGGAGTCTGTGCTTGCCGGTCCGTACAGTTCCTCCTGTTTTACCGGCATTTTGTCGGACACGTTTGACAGATCTGTGGGCCTCGCTCGGGCCTGGGACAACGGCACACAGAGTTCAGGACTTGGATTGGATGGTGAGCTCAAAGCGGAGGTGTGGACGAGAGGAGAGGAAAGAGCAACTAAAGATGCACCACATGTCTCTTTGTTGGATGAACCCATCTTTTCTTTCTCTCTTTCAAAGTCATTTCTGCTCCCGTCTCGGTGTCTCTCTCCGTCGAGGCCTCCACAGGAGCAAGTTGCTGCCATCTCAGGAATCACAGCCTGGCTACAGTCCTCGTTCTCCCCTACTTCCAGTGGCTCACGGACAGGGATGGTGCAYGTACAAGACCCTGCCGAAAGCGGAACCGTGTTCGCGACCTCTTCTTCGGACAACTCCTCTGGTTCTCCGGCCCTTTTGCTGCCATCCCCTGTCGCTGTTCTCTCCTTAACGCCTTCTTTTTCTCCCGTTCCCTCTGGGGAGGGCAGGGAGACCTTYACAAAGGAAACAGAGGCGGGAACTGTGCACGGGGGATCAATTTCAAGACTCTGGGGGGCTTGGCAGATGAGTTTGGTCGCCTCACATGGTGTACATTTGAATCCTCCAGCTTCTCCTGCTGTTCCACTGTGGTAAAGAGGGGCTAAAGTCTCCTGGAATGATTAAAAATAAAAATTAAAAAAGCATTCCAAACCACCGCTATTGCAGAATAAATAGCTAGGTCTGTGATTTTCTAAATTTCAAYCTTGCAGGAAGAAACCTAAAAGTGGTTTTCTGTATTTATGTGTTTTTTTTACATTATAATTGCTGTCTAAAAGGTTTGTAACTGTAATTACAACAGTTTCCTTTTTTTCTTTAAACAAAAATGTCAAAGTACCTGCTGTATCCGGGTCCTCTTCAGATTCTGGACGCAAGATCGCAGGTTTACTAAATAAAGAAACAACACAGTGAATCCTATATGTCCATATAAGACAGAGAGGAAACGTGCTGATGAGCTGAAGCTGACGGACTCCACAGAGTTTAGACATACCAGAGAGTAACTTCAGTTTGTCCTTGTAGCAGAAGAGCAGCAGAATGAGGAGACACAGAACAGTGATGACCGACAGAACTGAAACTAAAACCCAGGAGAACGGGGTAACTGTAAGAAAAATATAAATAAATATTACAGTTTGTGTCTGTAGTCATAATCTGACATCTTTATTCCAGTATCAAATATATAACAAGGGTGTCAAACTCATTTTCACAGAGGGCCACATCAGAGTTACGGTGGCCCCCTAAGACCAGTTGTAATCAACTTTGACGTTTCAGGTTTAACTTCAGCTAAACACAAAACATCACATTTCTTTTCTCATTGCAACGGCTGAACAATAACTGAGCTCTTCCTGGCATTTTCTGCATAGAAACTGCATTTTAACACGTCTTATAAACACTGAAAAGTGCTTCGTGTACGACTGACTAAATGTAAAAATAAATAAATAAATAAAAATGTGGGTGGATGGGGGGGTGCCCCCCTTGATGGGCCAGACGGGAGTCACCCACAGGCCACATTTGGCCCATGGGCCTTGAGTTTAACATGTGATACAGAAGAATATAAGGATATACAGTATATTCAGCACCGGGAAAGACTAAATTCAACTTTTCTGAACTCCTGTAGACTCTATGTGCACACACACGTATTTAAGAGCTAAAYGGGGACTTTGCTTGATTTGTTCTCTTTAAATTGATCTTGCTCAGTAGGTCATCTTTCAAGGTTTTTATTGAGTGTGTACTTCAAAATCTCTACAGTGGGGTTGTTAATATACAATATGCATTAAAGCACAAAACAATCTTTCTGATCCACAATGACTGAGAGTTCTACACATGAACCAAATTCCAGAGCTCAAACTAAAATGAAGGTGGCAATTATGAGATTAAAAATATTTATATTCACTTGACTTTTGTATGTTTGGGCCTCAAATRATAATAATAATAAGAAACACACAATAACTACAACAGACCTTTGCACAAGCTTCTGTGYTCAGGCCTAAGATGACTCAAGAGTTTTGCACAATAGGTGATCTAAAGTAATTATACAAAAAAAAGAGGTTTACATAATTGTTACTGTGAATTCCTATTTTTTTCTGTGACTCATCTTGTAGTGTTTAAACATCAAAGCAGAAATAGTCAKTGCATGACTCTGAGGATTTCTGCAGAGCTTTGACGGGTCTGAACAGGTGCAGTCCAAGTGTCCTCGTCTCACCTGGGACATGCTGTCCACACACAGCATCAGCCTCGGAACTGCCTGGCTGCATCTCGCTTCTGCCCTCAGCTTTACAACTGAAAAACAAAAACAAACAAAAAAAAAGAATAAAATTTTATATTAAGAAGCACTTTAAAATAATTGTTCACATTTTTCTTTCTGCGTTGTCGTCATCATTTTCACAGATCTGTGCTAAACCTATTCAAGCTCTACTATACATAAACACATTAGTGTGTGAGTGTGTTTCAACTGACTTGGTCCATGGTTTGCATTGCTCAGCATTCGTCTTGTCAGAATAAAAGCCTTCTTCACAAGCAAAACACGCTTTCCTTCCATACGTCGACCCTAAAGAGCAAACCCACATTTTGTTACACTACCTTTTGTAAACGTGACACGTGTTTTCTGCTCCGTGTTCGTGCGCCTCACCTGGGTCGTCCTCAAGTCCACTGCCAGGGGGACATTTTGGGATGTCCTCGCAGTACTCACAGTTGATGGTGTGACACTGGAGTCCAGTTTGGCAGAGACACGGCTCCTCCTCCGTAAAACTTTCATTATCATTTCTTTCCATAAATCCTTTTCCTGGAGGTGGAAAAAAAAGATATTTTAATTCATTTAAAGTCCAGATAAGTTCTGAACTGGCTTTGCTGCAAAGATGTGACATTACTTCTGATAATTATGAATGTTTTATTTTTATACCGTCAGTCATCGAGGTATTTGCRGATTTTTGATGAGATAACTTTATTTTATAGCTTGAAAAAAAAACTTTCTGCCCTAAAGCAAAAAAAAATTTCTCAGGAATTGATCTCTTTCTGTAAAAAGCTGCAGGTACTGACCAGCATCGCAGTACTTCTTCGGGATGCAGGTGGTTTTGTCGGTCCAGCCAGGCTGATATTCATAATGATTGCACTTTGAACATGTAGTCTGGTCCGATTCAGTGCAGTGAGACAACACACGCTCTCCTGATGAAAACCAGTTAAAGGGACAGAGGTTAACAGGTGATCACAATAAAACAGGGAAAGAACTGGATGCAAATGACCTCACGCTAAATTATGCATGCGGTTAAGTAAACATGCGARTCTGAGCTATTTTAGGCCAACGTGTTCCATTTTTAAACATCCTTCCTCTTCTATCTTTGTGAATGAAAAGGTATTTTTATTTCCTGCTGATTCCAGTGAGGAAACAAGAAGTGCCACTCCACTTCCTCATGTTTTTACTTTACTGCATACATCCACAATTTATTTATTTATTTTTACCTGGCTGACACTTTTTGCAGCATCTGGAGTCTTTGAAATATTGGTTTTCTCCACACTGAATGGCTTTGGAGACTGCATCCTAAAACAGATAAATGAAGAAAATATAATTTCACACATACAAAGCAATRAACTTTCTGAAATTTTTCAGCTCCCAACACATAAAATAATTCGTGTCAAAGGCTCAAGCCTCTGAAAATGTTCATGAGAGTCTGTGACATCATTCAAATACAAAAAAGTCAAATAAAACATCTGATTTTACACAGTTTCTCACATAACTGGCACATTTTCTTTTGAACAGCCAAAGTGAAACAGGAAGTGACATCAAAGAGGAACTCTAACAAAAAAAAACCCTCTGGTATTTGTTTATTAAAGCAATATTATTTGAACTCTGACTCTTCATCCCTCTGATATTGACTCAAATTAATCTAAAGAAACATCAGATTCTTCTCTACAGTCTGTGTTGTTAGCTGTAGCAACGCTCTGTTTACGTTCCTCTTTTTCATCACTTCCTGTTACTTCACACGCAAAAATCTCAGCAACTGTTCATCTCAGCAGTAAGAAATTTATTTTACAATATTTAGCAATGTCTTCTTTCAAAAAACACATTCACATCTTTTACAAAAAAAAGATGTCACAGGCACTTTAAAGTCTTCCATTTGATGTTTTGTGACCCACAAAGGGGTCCTAGCCCCTTTTACTTTGGACACCGCTGTTCTACAGAAGAAAATAAACAAAAACCTTTACACGTAAAATGTTTACCATTTAACAATAAGGGTTATRAAACTTAAATTTCATTACAGTTTTTAGTGCATGTTATGCTACAGCATCTCTTTTATTTATCACCTTTTAAATCAGGAACATTATTGTGAAATAGATTCAAGTAATAAGAGGAATACAGTAGGATGGTTGAAGAGTTTTCAAGTCAAGCCCGGAAATTTTCTTTCCACCCTCTCAGAAACACCTGACCACAAACCCACACAGGATTCTTTTACACGGGCGCTTGAATGAAATTAAAATGGAAACTTGGAGATTTTCAGATATTCTCCTCGTCATCATCGGTGCGCTGCTGAAAAGCGCTTTAATCGCCACGCCACCTTTAAACAACCCCGGAACATCTGCACTTTTTAAACATGAGTAAAAACTCGAGTTTCTCACATCCAGAACTGGCCGTACACACCCTCCTTTCCCCATAAACTTGTGGCCGGTGACCTCCTCACCACACTGCTGAATTAGAGAATCCAGCTGTTGTGACAGAGGTGTTGCCAAAGCCACATACTCTATATATAAAGGTAGATAAATACAAGCTGAAGGACTGTTTGCACTTTGAACTTGGACCAACATCTTTCACCTTCTCATTTAGCCGTTTACGGKTTTTTTTCTTCCAGCATTGGAAGTGGAGACTTCATTTATCCTGTAATTTATGCTGGTTTTGAATGCAGCTTTAAACACAAGAAACAAATTTAATTTGAAATCGTAAACTTTATCCACTGATTCCATATTTTTCCAAAGTTCACCAGTCCGTATCCATTCCTGTGATTTTACACCGCTTGCAGATGACAACTTTTAAATGTTTTAATGGATAAAGTGCATGAAAATAAATTGCAATTATTTAGAAAATGCTTCTATCTAAAACAACATTTAGGTAACACTGTTCAGTTTCAAAAATGTTGTTTCTCTGAGCAAAGAAATGAGAAATCCCCCCTCCGTTGTTGTCACACATCCACGTTCAGCTCTGTTTAGTCTGAGCAGCTTTGGTCAGAAACATCGCAGCAGGAAGAGTAGCTCACAATTAKCTGCCTCCACTCAGAGCAGCACAGCAGCCAGTCTTTGTTTTCTAATGATGCACGCTGCTTGAAGCTCGCAACACAGCTCTAATGACGACTCTGTGCCACATCAGACTGAAGTGACCAAGTTTTCCAGAGGCTCAGACAGAGATAAATATAAACAGAGCTGCACGCTTTTACCAGAATGCACGGGGGGAAAAAAACAAGGCTTGAAATGCTATTTTTGTTATACCTGACTGTTGGGTCTCACTAATTATAGCTTTTGTGCTAGCAGGCCCCAAATGAAGGTACCCGGGCTGTAAATGGATCGGAAAGAACATTTATCTGGACACAGATTGGTTGTTAAATTTGATCTATTTCGATTTTCTTTCACATATCACAGTTTTTCTTACAATTTATGGGAATTTATTTCGAGCAGTGTAGCCC